ATGGTCTTTGCATAATCATGGAAGACACAGTTCTTTTTATTTGAAGGTAATGCCTATGAGACTGCAGTTTTGGCAGCGCTGTTCTTGAGCTCATTTAAATTGCAATCATGGCAGTGGTAATCAAAGAACAGGACACCACCAGTCTACAGCATGCAGTATGGTTTCTAATACATTTGATAACGTGGGGCAGTTAAAAGTGTTTGCCTTATTTCTCTACCACGCTCATCCAGTCCCATTGGAAAGCAAAACCTTAACATTGTTCTTTTGCTGTGCTTGGTTGATGTTTTTATATGAATTATGAAGCATCCTTTGATATCTGGCATTTCCCCTTACGATCCTCTGTTACTTTTTATGAGTACTTGCCCTCTAACTTCAAAAGCAGTTCATCACCTTCCTGCAGACAGTTATTAATAACTGGTTTGGAACTGTTGGGCATTCCTGGGCCTGTTTTATGCGAGTTTCTCTCCAGAAACATTCAGAAAGTGGCCATAATGTGCGCAGACCTCGAACTGCCTTTGCTAGCATGTGAAGGGTCTCTCTCATCACGTGCCTCTTCGGTTTCTGTCCTATGTAGACTTGTTTCATAGATTTAATGACTAAAAGAAAAACTGAAGCTAAGAGAGTAATTAAATCTGCCCAGTCCTGAACCGTGCTGTTGCAGTTGTTTCATCCTAAATTGCCTGCAAATTATAGTATGCTGGGGAGAACTATTCCTTGTGTTTAACCCATGCTGGAACAGTGTGGGTTGGACTTCAGCACTGGAAAGCATGGGCTGAAGCCCTGATGGTGGCCTCATTAGGGCTGGACCATCCATCTTTCCCGCAGCACCATATCCACTTCACTGCTTTCATTCGGTGAAGAGGAAGAAAAGTATGTTTTGTGACAGTTCAAAAGGAAAATAATTGGCATGGGGGTAGTTAATGTGAGTTGCCATTCCTTAACATCAGAGATTCCACTAAAGTACTAATAATTACTGTTAATATCTTTCAGTGGAAACTTTCAGAGTAAACGAGCAGTGGTTGGAGCAGTATTTAACGGCATGCTGCTGGCATGATAAGAATGCAAATAAGTGTTATTAGCCTAATGATTTTGCTGTCACCATGGCTGTGCAGCAGTAGTGTTGTGAATATGTCATGCAGTACCCGTGAATTTGGAAAGTGTGTCAAAACACAACTTCAATTAGTTTGCTCTAATTATGGCTCTAGAGAGTTCATAACTGTATCACTCCTCATTAAAAGAGATTTTCTTATATGGATTAATACAGCACATAAAGGGATGTTTGAGCGATCTGAAGCAGAGCTGTGCAGAGGGAGGATGCCCATGGTGTGGTGGGAGGTGCAGGGGGTCTGACCCCATCCCATGAGCTCCTGGTGCAGAGCAGAGATGGGAAGCCTCCCAGTCAGGACCAGGCGGTTCTGTTGCAGTATCCTCAGCACATGAACCTGGTAGATGATTCTGAATGCGCTCTTCAGTTAAAACCAAAACAACTCAACCAGAAAACAAACCGTAGGAGCCCTGGTAGGAACCACACTTGATGCTACACTGGAGATCTGGCCTGAAAACTTTGCTCTGATAAAGCTCGAGGAGCAAAGGCAGTCAGAATCTGGAATCTCAGAATGAGCCCTTCAGGATGCCAAATGTCCACGTGCCTTTCCCAGGGTATTTGTAGTGTCTTAAATACCATCTTTTGGTATTGCCTGAGCATATCCTTGCTTTGCAGAGCAGGGAAGAGATTCTTGTGCTCACAGGTGACTAGTTGGTGAAGGGTTAAAGTAGTAATTGTTTAAATCTTTTAGGCTTTCCTCCCAGTTCTGTGATAATTTGATGAAGAACTTCACCCTAATTAAATATTCAAATTAGGAATAAGTGTCAATATGGCTTCCCATTGCCTGGAATGATGATTAATTGTATTCAAAACTCTAGTGGCCGCTGTAATCTAACCCAAACCGTTGTTCTTGATTATTTGTGCAACACATTTACCATGTTTTTGTTTTAAAATTTAAACTAGTAATTGATTTGCCATATGCCGCAGAGCTGCACATACTTTCACGATATGTGTTTAGGAACTTGGGGACTCTGTAATTGGGATTTTCTTGCTTTTCAATGGCAGCCTCTCTGGTTTTTTGTCTTCTACAATGCAAAATGATTTGGCTTTCACAACACATAAGGAAAATGCATTATGCAATCAACTTAGTAGGTTTAAGTTATATTGATCCTGGCCAAAGTTTGCATTAATTTAAAATAAATTAGACTCTGTTTCCTGGTTTTTCCCTACAATGTCATGCTTTTTAAAACAAAAAGGGGAGAGCTGATCTCCTTCCAGCAGTCACTGCCCTCCGTCTTGTGGTCTTGCAGCTAAATGTTCTTGGAGAGACCTGGCTCTTGTTGGAGCAGCTCCATGGGAGCGATGAAATACCTGTTTGTCTTACCTTGGAAATGGAAAGTGGCCATGGATGGGGGGCCCTTGTTTCCAAACGCCCTCATAAGCCAATCTTCAGACTCTGGTGCTGGCAGGCCAGTGTTGGCAGCAGCTGAATGGGCAGTTCTGCTTGCAGTAGGTTGCAGGAGTGAGAGCACAGTTACTGCACCCACTCAGAGTTACCTCTTAATAGGGATATGTCTGAAGTGGAGAGCAAACGGGATACCCCGTGGAGTCAGGCAGCAATAAGTCATCTTCTGCTGCTGTATTCACCAGTGTGTGGTCAGCATCCCTCAGATGGGAAGTGATTCATTTCAATTACACACGTGGAACGTGTGCTCCACTTCAGCATATGGCACTTGTGAAACCTGGTGCTCATGTGAGCTGCCAGGCACACTGGTACTGACTGGGGACTTGGTTCACAAAGTCTTTTGCAAGCTAAGGGTTCAGAGCTGGGAAAGCTGCTGCACCGTGGAGCTGATGGCTCCTCTGCAGTGCTTCCACATCACCCACCATGAACCCTGCGGAACGGTCCTGTGACTGGAGGGATGCTCATCACCTCCCTCGCAGCCTGTGCTGGTCCAGAGGGAAGAGGGTCAGCCTCACCTGCAGCGGGAGCTGGTGGAAACCTCTAAAATGCTCTGCTCCGAAATGTGCCTTTCAAGTGGATCTGCTTTGTTTACTTCCCAAACACTTCCTGCCGTTTTGTTTGGGGTGAAGAAAGTCCCCTGGACAAGCAAGAGAAATTCAAGTCTTTCTATTAGCTGTTTTGGTGCCTCGCAAAGTATTTTTGGATACTGCTATTAAAAAACAAATGAAAAGCGTGTAATGCCTACAGGCAGTGGTCCTCTGTTTTAAAGTGTGTTCATGACAAACCTGCCTCTGCTCGCAACGAGTCTCATATGGATTGTGTTTTAAACAGCAAACTGTTAGCCAAATTCAAAACTATTTTCACACCATCTTTTTTTGGTTAGAAGGAGCTTTGGGAAGCACAAGCAAATTCAAACTCGTATTTGCTTTTTCTTATTTTATCCGTGCTGTTCACCATCAGTTGCATCGAGGGCTAAAAATACGTAGTTCTTCACAAAATGTGTCCTGGTTTTTAAAGGCAGATAATTTCCAGATGATTTGCTTGATAGATAAAACCTGCTAGCTAAGAATGTGGATTTGATGGGGGATATGCAGGGCCCTGTTTCACAGATACGGTGTGTTTGAGAGAACACAAAGGCCACCTTGTTTTCCTGGCAGGAGAACGATGCTAAGGGCCTTGCCGTGTTCCGTAGCTCTCCTCATGTGAAATGGAATCTGCTGTCCCTTTAGGAAGAGGGAGCATCTTTATTATGTATGGCAGTGTGGTCCAGAAGATTAATGATAATGTTGTATAAAAATTCACTGGGATCACCATTAGAAAAGTACATATTTGAATTAAATGGGAAAAGCCCAAATCTCTCATCAAAGCATAGAAATCTGTGGGCTATCAGCAACTGTTGACTAGCAAAAAGTCTGCTCTCATGGCAGCCTTCTCACAGCTCCATTGCTGGCTGAGCAGCCACACTGGCTGTACACGGATGGCAGTGTGATGGCAGAGGGAGAACTGTGTCTGCTGCACTGAGCATCCTCACTGGTGCTGTACCAAGCCCCAGAGCTCCCAAATGTCTGATGAGAGTAGGGCATTGCCTCTGCCCTCCCATCCCACATGGGAGGGAAGGTCACCCACCTTATATTCTAGTCTGTGTCCAGGCTTGCTGGGTGCTGGATTTTCCCCTTAATAAGCCCTGAGCCACTGAAAATGGTTTCAGCTTCACTTCCATGAGCTCCATTTTTTTCCTATTTATAGGAAAGTTTAATGGAAGATGTAAAAATATCTCCCTGCTGCAGGAATGCTGGGCAGAGCACTGCTGCAGCCGGGGAGGTGATGAGTGAAGTTTGGCTTCCCTTTCCTCTGGGGCTGGTGTAGGGGAGCGCAGCTCATCACCCCCTGCCTTGGGGAGCATGGGAGCCTGCATCTAGCATTGGGCATGTCTAAAGCAGGCCTTAGTCATTAAGAGAGTTTCAAAGATCCTATTTACAAATGTACTCAGAAGTTTTTGGCCCTTGCTGTCAGTGCTTTCTGCCTCGAAGGAGACTCTGTGAGTCCTGCAGGGTTTTCAGGCACTCTCTATGTCTTCTGTTGAGACTTGTGTTTGCAGAGGGGAGGCCATGCAATCTCTCTCTGGGTGCCAGCTCACAAGGAGCAGCCGTGTCCTGCTGGAGAGTGGATGGCTCCCTCTGTAGTGCTTCAGTTAGTCAGCTGAGTCTGGTGTTTGGTGGGGCAAAGCAGGTTTGTGGTGGGGTGTATTCAGTCTTGCTCACAGCTGAACTAAGGAGGAGGTAAAGCAGCTCCACCACACTTGGTTATAATGGCTATATCGCCATCTCAGTCTACCCCTGGCGTTTAGTGCCCACTCCAGGTTTTGGAAGCAGTGCTAAGGGTGATGTTTGTTGCTTAACCTGACTGGAATCATCAGGGGAGAGTGAGCTGACAGCAGCAGCGTTTTCCGCTCTGTGATAACATCCCGTCCATTTCCCATCTCTCCCTCAGGCATATCTCCCTGACGCTCCCTGCCAGCTTTCGAGGGAAAAGTCACAGCACTCGCCTGGACTTGGAGCACCAGCACTCAAATTTGTACGCCATATCAGGTAAGCTGCGCACGCGATGCTTTCTCTGCTCCTCTGTGGAACCAGGAGTGGAACCCAGTGAAGCAGCCCTGCTTGTACAAACAGTCAGGTGTGTGGTACCCAGGAAACTCACACCCAGTGCTGTGTCGTTTTGTCAGTGCTGTTAAAGCGTAGAGGGCAGAGGGACCCCAGAATGTGCTCAAACACACGTTACTGGCAGCAGACGTTACTGACCACTGGGGAGATCACAGCCTTAGGCAGGGATGCTGCTGCCTATGGAGGTGCTCAGTGAGAGCTCTGGTGGAAAGCAACCCTGGTACAAACTTTGCTCCTCATGCTGGTCATGGTCATCACAGGTGAGTCACAAGAGACCACATCTCTGCCCATTTCACAGGAAGCTTTGTCCTTCCTATGAAGAATGAGTTTCCTACACAGTCTGCTCTGCTACACTCAACATACACATTAAAAACAGATGAGTCTTCTCCCCATTTCTGTATTCTGAACACTGCACTGCATAGGTTTGTTTCCCTGCTATTAGGGCAAATCTGAACATAGATGTTTGGATTTGGATGGTTATCTGTGTTATTTTTAAGAAGCATGTGCTTGCAGATGCACACTTAGTCTGTAGCTGCAACTTTCTCTCTGTTCATCATTCCAGGCTAGTACGCAAGTGCTAGAGCTAGTGATAGTTTCCAGATGTCAATGTGGAAAATAACTGCCTGTTTTTATTTTTAACTAGTACTAGTCTGCAGGGAAAACGTGTGTTTAAATAGAGTGGTGAGGAACAAGCCCATTCCTTTACCCTTACAGGTAACTTGTTACTGTGCTTTGGGACTATGCAATGGGTTCAGCTCGGAGCTGAGGCCTCTATGAGCAGTCCTGCCTCTTGGTGCTGGCTTTCTTGAAGGAGGAGTAAGCTAAAAAGGGAGGTAACCTGATTCACAAGGCCCAGGAGGAAATGCCTTTAGGAATGAGAGACAGGGATGCTTTACAGAGGTTGTACCTCGTGGAGTCTGTCACTGCTGGATGTGCTGAGCACTTTGTGGTCTGGAAGCTATTCATAACCCACAGCAAAAGGACTTATGGTTCTGTAAGCTGAAGACAAGCATTTGGTGCAGCTGTGATGCAGCAGCACATTTCACCTGCCTCCTCTCCTATGGGGCCAGCCCAGAGGCTGGGTCTCAGCTGAGCAGCACTGGGGTGCAAGAGTTTTGCTTAGAATTCTTCTTTTAGATTAATATTACACCTGAACAAATAGTGTGCTAGGCAGGGTAGCATCACACTTAGCCACAGTTTTCTCTTTGTTATGTCCTTTTTGCAAGAGGAGGAAAATACTGGCTTTAAACCTCACTCTATGAAAACCTCATGAAAGTGCAGTCCCTTCATTTGGCTGAAGGAGATTTTCGGGACAGTTTGGAAACCCAGGAAAAGCAGCAGTGGATTCAGTGGGCTGTGCAATAAATAGGTAGTGCTGGTGCATAATCAGGGAAGAGAGATGGCAAAAATGTGCCATTCACAGGTTCTTGCTATTAATAGTGAGTGACACTTCTAACATGGGAACATGGCATTAATTCATGTACCATAATCAAAGGGTTATTTAAAAGGTAATCTCTGACTGAAACTGCAGCTTCGGGTTCCTAAATAGATGGAATATAACAATTGCATAATTCTTGTCAGTACTCGTTTTTCTTGTTACTCCTCTGCTCTAATAGATTTAGAAATGTAAGAGAAGGCATGTTCCTGTGTTCACATGAGACAGTCCTGCGGGGAGGACAGAAAGCATCCAACAGTGAGGCGCAGCTCTGCAGGAGTGTTACTGAGAGTGACCCTGCTATAAGACTACCCATGGGCTGCCTCTGCTTGCAGTGCCACCTGGGACGATGACCTAGTTTGCAAAGAGCCTGAATACTTAACCAGATGATTATAGGTACAGCACAGCTCAGGCCTGCAAAACCAGGCATGGCATTTGAACTCCATGTTCATGGTTAGAGTATATAACTCTCTCTTTTTCCACCTCAACTGCACGTTCTCCTCCAGACACGTTACACAAGTTGTTGTGCATACATGAGCCGTAATGGCTATTACAGCTGCGAACTGTTTCTGAAGAAAGGGCCTTGTCATATGAAACATCCTGTGCGTTGGCAGGGATCTTCGCGCATAACTCCTGACCGCTGCTGCCTTCCCGGCAGCTGTGATGAGGTGCTGTGACAACCCCCTTTGTGTGCTTCGACACTGCGGAGGTAGATGAGCCTCCAGGCGCGCTGCGGAAACCAGTCCGAAGTTTCCTGTTAGGTGGGGTGCAGTTTGCAGCCGGTCCGTTTTATCTGTGCCGCAGTGCGAGCGCCTTGCTGCGGTGCCATGGCAACGGGAAATTGATTAACGCGCTTCCACTGGCGTCCCTAATTGCTCTGCCGGGATGCGGTTCGCCACGGTGGGGTCCCAGCCGCAGCATGCTGCGGGGCCCATGGGGACGATGGGGACATGTGGAAGGTGAGCAGGCGAGGTGACACAGGACTGCGATGGGCACAGGACTTCTCTCTGATACCTCCTTGTGCTGGACAGGCCTGCGGGCTCCCTCTCTTGGCTCTTAGCAAAATGGAAGGCTTCCTGGTGCAGGGAAACAAAAGCCGTGATGAACTGTCTCCTGTCTTCCAGTTTTGCAGTCTGATTTCCTGTGGAGGGGATGATGGGATGGGCTGTGAATGAAGGAGGATAGGGACACCAAAGATTTTCTCAGTAGTCAGTGAAAGCAACACTTACCAGCTTGGGTTCAGCCTGTTTATGAAAGGTGAAATAGATACTGGCTGTTGAACCTACTCTGTATCTCAAAATGCATTTTGGCAGAAATCGCCATATCCCCACTGGGGCTGTCCTGTTACTCGGTGGAGCATGTAATGCACTTTATCACTATGCTAGAGTTGAGAAAAAATGATCCTGAAAGTAGTAATTATGATTTTTAACCAGCCTTTTGTCATTTCCAGTCTTGGCAATGAGACATTGGGGTGACCAGAGAGTTAGGGAGACTCCTCTTGGTGCAGTGAATTAATGAATAGTTCTTTGACAGGATGCATTTAGGAAAGCATTGCCCAGACCTTGCCGTGGGAACCTGCCACATGCTATTGCAGCACTGCCAGCATCATCCTCCTGGCCTGGCAGACTCCCTGGTCCTACCCTGTGCCATGGACCCGAGACCAAAAGGCAGAATTACTTCTAAGCTGATCTGCAGAAGGTCTCTGGGTGATGCTGGGAGCATGGTGCTGAGGAGCTGACAGGTTTAATATGCATGTTTGAACGGGCAGCTGCTGGAAGAAGAATGCCTTGCTCCAGACAGACCTGTCGACAGACACTGCTCAGTATTTCACAGCATAGTCTTTCTTCATGGCCTTCAGCTTAATTAAGATGTTGTTGTGACTGCATACTGCCTTCATTTCAGACTTAAGCATCTTCTGGCTGCATATTGCTTTGGCTTATCAGAGCCACAAGGACAGTGAGAGAGAGAGGGAGCCCTCTCAGGCAGCCACAGATAATAACGTACAGGGAAAAATCCTGAATGAAGTGAAAAATTATTTATAATAATGGTACTCAAATGGAAGGGAAATAAGTCACTCTAAGGGTATATAAATTTTTATGATAGTGTATAAACAGCCATAGCTTGCCTTGTCTCCCATCTATCCCTGCAGAGAATGAGGGCAACATCTAGCATAAAGAAAAATATAATAAGAAAACGAAGAAATGAATGGGAAGAGCTGGAGGATTGATCACTCGGTGTATTTGTATATCCTGATGTAAAAGGTGCTGCTGACAGGTGGCCAGGTTTCTTCCGTATGAAACCATGTGTGTGCTGTCAGGGCGGTGTGAGCAGCCTTGTTTCGATTGATGAATTGCCTGCTTTCTTGATTAAACCTTCCGTCACTTAAGAAACAAAAAGCCTGTGTTTGGATGGCAGAGTGGGACATGTCAAAAAAATCTGTCTGCTTTACCTTTGTGCAGATGTTGGGCACAGACTGTAACATGTATTATTAAAATGAATGTGGCATTTACTGTGCATTATTTCTTTCCTGGGAGAAGGGACCTGTAAATTATATGCTAATAATAAGCTTTAACCCTTTCAGAAACCAAGAGATTTAGGAGTGCAGGTATTCCTGCAGGCCTCACTAATTGGATGGGCTCTAACACTACTGTAGCTCTCTCTGAAGTTAATAAACAGTGTGTTTCAGACCAGTACGCTGATGCCTCTTGGGGATCCTGCCTCCCATAAGTTTTCTGCCATGGAAGTGACACTGAAATGTAAACCTTTTGAATTGCAAAATCTTCCATCAAAAGCCCCCTCCAGATTCTGATTACAGGGGGGATCTGTCTCCTGCCTGGGGCCGAGCAGGACCTCCTCAGCGGGAGGCACAGCCCACACCAGCACCAGCTCTATAACCTTGATTGCACTTCCAGATTCCCTTCAGGCTGCCAGTTTGAGACGTGCTCAACCTGCTCGTCTCAGGAAAAGAGTTAGGGATGGAAAAAAGGCTTAAACCACCTTGCAGAGCGCATGGCAGGATGTGGTGTTTAAAAATGAGATACTGACCATCTCAGCTGTGGTTTCTGGGGACACTCAGGCTGGTCTAAGCTGTGGGCTTTGGTGGCTGAAGTCAGGTGGGCAAAGCCATTGCTGGCTCTAGCGTGTGACTTTGCACGATGCTGAGCAGGGTTGTTTTGTTTGGGTTTTTTTCCCCCCTGAAATTTTACAGTAGCCATCTTCAGCATCATATTGCAGATAGACCTGTTTGGTTTGTAGCATACAAATTTATGTCATTTAAATACAGGACAGTCAGTACTCGTACCTTCTCTTGACCTGTTGTCAGACTGTCAAGGCAGAAATCTCATTGCATGGAGACTGTCAGATAGTTCTGCACAACGCCATCAGGATGCGTGCACAAAGTAGTTAAAGCCTCTTTGTACCAATTTTCTGCATGAAACAAGTGTATGAACTTCCAGATACTACTACAGCTGTCATCATAGAGCCAGACTGA